TGAAGAAGGGCAGGTATGGAGCCAGCAAGCCAGGGAGCCCCTCCTGCAATGGGAGTGGGCTGATCCCAGCTTCTGAGGCTCTGGGAAAAGCTGTTTAGGGCAGCACTCCCCCACCCCCACCCAGCTCTGTCCTCACTTCTCCAAGGCACCCCAGCCTCCAGGCACTGTATGCAGCTCAGTCACATTCACACCTCACCAGATCCCCTCCATGCGCTCTCCAGAAAGAATCTGAAGCTCTCACACACACACCCCATAGGCATCTGACCACTGCTGTCTGAAGCTCTGCGTACAGCTCCATGCCAGTCCCAGCTGAGCACTCGGCGCCCAAGGCACACAGGCTTAGAGCAGGATGGAGCGCTGGGGCTGCGTGCGGGGAGCCGGCAGATGGAGTATCTGGAGGCTGTGGGGGAGCAGCAGGGGCCTGGAGCTGGCAGTGACACACACACCATCCCTTCCCATGCTTGCCCCTGGGTTTTGGGGATTCCCATCCGGGAAGTCAGCAAAGCAGAAACCCTGATTTGAGCACTCAGGAGTGAGGCCTCAGCACTGCCTGCTGGCTCTTTCCAGTTCCCCAGGTGATTCTGACACGCACAAGGGTTTAATGACTTAACTTTCCAGGGTGTCCGCGTCTTAACTAGGTTCCAGGATGGAAGGAATGATGGTCTCATGGAAGGATCTCTAAGTGGCTGGGGTGCAGCGAGCAGCATGGGGACTCAGAGTCCCTTCCTCCCTGGGCACAGGCCACTGCCTATACTGTGTGTCCCTTCCCAACTCCCGAATGTAGCTTCAGGCCCCCTCGACAGTGGTGCTAGGCCACTTTGAGACTCTATGGAGGGAGGCACACGCCTATGGCATTATTTAGAACCAAGAAGAAATACCCATTGCTTAACATGAAGACGCAGCCACTCAACAAAGGTAGGCAATGCTCTAAAGAGAGAAAATCAGCTCAAAGTCACAGAGCAGCATAGTTCAGGCTGCAGGTTCACGTCTGAGCAGATTTCCTGCCTCAGGATGTCTACTTTGATAAAGCACAGCTTTAGTTTTCACCACTGGCCATGTGATCTTCCCAACGTCCCCAGAAACTGCCATGTCCTCATCTCTAGGAGTTTGCAGCCCTCATGCATGTCAGCCGGGGCTCCACGGGGCTCCACGGGGTTTGTGTGCGGCGGGGGGGGCAGGGGGCAGGCATGATGGTGGAAATCAAAGTGTCACCTGCACCCCTGCTTCACAGAGAAGCCCAGGCCGGGAAGAAGCCGGGCTGCACCCACAGTCATGGGGCCCATGGGCAGCTGGGGGTGGCCCAGTGCCCACTGCATGGCACTGCTGAGAAACGCTGCACAGTGGACACCCAGCAGAGCTGGCATCGAATACCAGCCATGGTCCCCAGAGGCCCTGTGTGTCTTGGCAGCTGCCTCCCAGATGGCCTGCCCTTAGCGCTGGTGCCATGAGGATGTGGATGCAGCAGTCCAGAGAGCCCTGCAGCCACCCCAATCTCCTGGGCTTTGGCATGGAGAGAAGAGCATTGCCTCAATCCACCTGCAGCCAGGCTGCAGTCAGGAGGCTGTGTAGGGTGTGGCTGGGTTTCTGGGGCTATCCAGAGGCTGAGCCCTCCAGGAAGCTGGAGACTCACATCCGGGGGGAGGGCTGTGGAGTTAGGAAAAGAGGGCTCAGGGCCGGGTCCCCAGTTCAAAGAGCACTGGCTGCCATCACAGGAGAACTGGGGTGCAGAACTTGCATTGGCCAAAACTGGGAAAATCCAGAAAGAAGCGGAGACTGGACGGCTGGACGGAAAGAGATTGCATGGAGTTACTACAAGGAAGAAAAATCAAAGGGGCGGAGAACATGGAAGATTAGAGGCCAACCCCAGAGACTAGAAACAGAGCCAGCGCCTGGAGACACGCAGCAGGCACGTTCCATCACTGCAGGGCCAGTCGGGTGCCAGTCTAGGGAAGGGAAGGGAGGATGAGGAGGTGAGGGGGACGCAGAAACTGCAGGCGGGACCAGGGGAGGATGAACCAAGGAAGCTGCCTGGCTTCCGGGTCTCCCAACCCAGGACTGCGGGGATTTCCCAAACCGGCCAAGCCCGAGCGGAAGGCAGAGTGAGGAGGCCATCTAGCGGTGGGGGCCGGAAGGAGGGGCAGGGGCAGTGCCCAGGAGGGAGCCTGGAGCTGGGGCAGGAGAGGAGGCAGCTCTCTCCTTGGCCGGGACACTGGGCAAGGGGTAGGGGATGAGGAGGGGTGGGGGAGGGAAAGCTGGAGGAAGGAGTGAGGGAGGATGCATATGACCCCCAGGAGGAGAGGCAGAGCCCAGGTAGAAGAGGACGGGAGCCCAGGATTGTCCCGACATCCGGCCTTGTCAAAGAGACAGGGTTTGGAGCCCCTGCTGGTGCCGCGGAGGGGGCCAAATTGTCTGGGGCGAGGGATGGGGAGAGAAGGCAAAAAGATAGAGCCACCTGGCATCTGGTGGGTAAGATGGGGCTGGGCCAAGGGGAATGGGTGGGATGGCATGATGGGGAGTGAGGGGCGGGAGCGCAGAGCAACAGCTTCTCTGGGGTTCAGTCAGCAGCCTAGTTCTAAGACAATGCGTATAACCAGGATTGCTTTCTGTGCTGATCTGCCCCCAACCCACTCAGGCGGCAGGCCCTCTGAACTTCGGCATCAGGGCAGGTTTTCAGGCCCAGCATTATTTCACTCTGGACAATGAGCCAGTCTGCAAGGGAGGTGGCCCCTGACATGCTCTCCAAAGCATCCAGGGCTGTCCAGAGATGGAGGGGAGCTAGGTGGCCTCAGGCCATCCCTTGGGGCAGGTAGGTGTGAGGAAATGTCCTGAGTCGCTCAAGTTCAATGCCAAGCCACGTCGCCCTGCTCTCTGCCAAGAGGGAGCTGATTGCACCTGGGGCACCCCACGTCCAGCTGTGTCCACGTGGAACTCTGTGCAGCTCAGGCTTCTGCTTCCAAAACACACCCTGTGCACGCTGCCCTTCATGGAAGTGTGTGTGCTTCCTCCCGGCAGGCCTGCACGCCGGATCCCGCATAGCAACCCCTGCTGGGGGCTCTCTGCACTCACCTGCATTTGTTAGGGTGTGGGCGAGAGTGGGGAAAGGGGGAGGGAGGAGGAGGGACTGAGGCTAGAGGAGACACCCAGGGTGAGGGCAGGGCAGTCGAACGGTTTGCGAGTGCCCCACTGGGCCAGGTCACTGGTACCCAGGCACCACCCAGTGTGTGACAGCAGGCAGCAGTGCCCAACAGGCCAGCCTCCTCCGGAGAGGACACGCATCCTGTTTTGTGTCTGTTTTTACTGAGAACATGGCAGGCAGCGCAGACGTGTGCGGCCTGAAGAACCTCTGGGCTCAGCTGAGCTCCAGCTCCACTCATCAGTGGAGACTGCTGGGGCCTAGGCAAGCGGACGCTGCTCCCCCACAACGCGTTCCTTCTGAGACCAGGGTTCTTCACAAACCATGGGAAAGAACAAGAAAGAGAGGTGGAATGGAGAGCCTAAGTCAACCTTCCCGAAGGGACCCAGACCACCGAGTCTTGCTCATGCTCAGCCTCTTATGCCCAAGACAGATGTGTCTTACGATGCTTCTCTCCTCTCCCACCACACACACACACACACACACACACACACACACACACACACACACAGAGTTGGTCCGCAAAAGGAACTTCTGGAAACGTCTGTTTGCAGGCTGAGCTTCATCCGGGACCTCTCCCCCTTCACTCTGAGACTCTGGGGTCCAGGGAGACTGTTCACCTTCACAGGGCCACATTCCCAGCATCTGCTGGCTCCTCTGGGTCAGGATTCCCTTCCACATGAATAACCCTCACTCCCTCACCCTATGCTAGAGGAATTACTGCACACAAGTGGGATGGGGGATGAGGAGGGCAAGGGTATGATCTGTTTAAAAAAAAAAAAAAAAGCAGAGGGAGCTTCAAATTTTATTTTCCTGGTTTAATTAGAACTTTTTGAGACTTTTTTTTCTTTTTCTGCAAGAAGTAAGGTGATTCTGGACTCAAAGATTTCCAACTCCTGGGCATTGTGCCCCCTTTCTAGGAAGCCCCTCATCAACCAGAATACTGTCCCCCTTGGGCTGCAGCCCCTAGGACCTGGCGGCTCCAGTGCCTGAAGACAGTGGTCTGCGGAGCCCCTACATAAGGACAGCTTTGCAAGGAGCCTGAATTCCATATTCAGCTCATCCCTGGCTCTGCACTTCGCTCTAATCGATAGTGGGGGTGGCGTGAGCACAGCTTCGCCCACTCGCCTGCCCCCACCCAATGGCCTCTGCCCACCCAGCGCACACACTGGCCCCCACTCTCTCCTCTGTGCCGGGGTGCATCCCCAGACCTACTGTGCCCATCCACCCGGACGCCCGCAGCTCACTGTACCTGCCCTTGAGCCCCCATCCCATTTGCAGAGCTTAAAAAATGATATATTAATTGATGCACAATGAAAGAGCAGCATTTTTACGTTTTTCTAAGGCACTGAAAGCGTTTCAAATAGCAGCGCTTTACGTTACGGTCACTCATGATTATGCCTGGTCTGTGGGAAGGGGCTGACTCCTGTTTCTTCAGAATGCGGGGAGACCCAGCCTGCACGATCAAGTCTCTGGGGAAGAAACATTAAATAACAGCTGGGCAGCTGGCCCCTCAAATGTGTGAGCGACTGTGTGCTTGATGACTGAGGTTTGGGGGGCTCAACTGTCCTTTAAAAACTTAAGTTGGTTTTTACTGAAGCACCTACCATTCCAGGGCGAGCCAGGGGGAAACACGAGGACGCACACAAAGCCGGAGTAGCTGCTGTTAGCCCGAGACCTGCACTCCTCCCTCCCGACCACCTTTATCTTAGGAAAGATTTTTTTTTTTTAACTCGAAGCCTTCAGGTGAAAATAAAGCAACAGCAGCAACAGAAAAAAAAAATGTAGTCTTCTTCAGGGTTAACATCAGAAGACAAGCTTGTGCGGCTCTGGCCAATCAGATGCGCCCCTGGCAGCTATAATATAGTGCTAAAGGCAGCCTCTCTCACAAGCTCTCCAGGCTTGCTACCATTTAAAATCAGACTCTTTTTGTCTTTTGATTGCTGTCTCGCGACCCAACTCCGATGTGTTCAGTTATCAGCGGCCGGCAGCCTGCCATTCCAAGCCCTGTCTGGGTGGGGAGCGGTGGAGAGTCCCCCGCAGCCGCGGCGGGCAAGGTTATATAGGAAGAGAGAGCGCGAGGCAGCCAGCGGGAGAGCGAGCGAGAGGGCGAGCCTGAGCGAGGAAGGGAGAGCGCAAGAGAGAGCGCACAGGCACACACCCGCCGCGCGCACTCGCGCACGGACCCGCTCGGGGACAGCTCGGAAGTCATCAGTTCCATGGGCGAGATGCTGCTGCCGGCGAGATGTCTGCTGCTAGTCGTCGTCTCCTCGCTGCTGGTGTGCTCCGGGCTGGCGTGCGGACCCGGCAGGGGGTTCGGAAAGAGGCGGCACCCCAAAAAGCTGACCCCTTTATCCTACAAGCAGTTTATCCCCAACGTGGCCGAGAAGACCCTCGGCGCCAGCGGAAGGTATGAAGGGAAGATCTCCAGAAACTCGGAGCGATTTAAGGAACTCACCCCCAATTACAACCCCGACATTATATTTAAGGATGAGGAAAACACCGGAGCGGACAGGCTGATGACTCAGGTAGGACCCAGCGCGGGCGGAGTGTGCGGCTTTCCAGGGGGTCGCGAGGCGCCGAGCACTTCCAGACTTACTCTGTTTGCTCTCCGGCCAGAAACGAAGGTGATTTCACCGGCTCCTTCCCCACCCACCTGCCCTCCCCCTCATCTCTTCCTCTTCCTGGAGGAGAATGGAGGTCAAGGGTCCCGCTGGAGAAGTTTAGGGTGTGGTGGGGTGAGGACAGGAACAGACGTTGTCCATTACGGCCCTGATTTGACGCGTCTTGTTACAGTGGCCTTCCCCATCCGACCTCTGCCCTGGCTTGTAACTTGGGGAGACCTTCACTTTGTGGGTGTCGGCCCTTTCCAAGTCAGGAGTGGACACGGAAGAATAGGGTGGGAATCCCCCTCCCACGAACATGAAGTGGCCTCCGGACACTGTAGGAACCTAGCCTTGGGCGCAGAGCCCCCAGGTTTCCCATGGCCTCTGTGGGTTTCTTTCCCACGACTACCCCCACCCCACACCTTCCCACCAAAGAATTCTCAACTGGAAAAGCCAGGAGGCGGTTCTGACAAAAGGCAGGGGCTCCAGAGGCGACTCCGCCCGTCCCTGGGTCCCCGGCTGTATCGCAGAGCTGCCTTTGCGACTACATGTCCACAATTGTGTCCATCAGAGTGTGAATGTATTGATATTTCTTTAAGGATGCTCCCGAGCTCGAGGTACCTTAGGGGAGGGACTTAGAACTTATTGGCACTGCATCTCTTTAGTTTTCAACCTGCTTGCATAAGAATTAAGAGGAATAAATATTAGTGAGGGGGGAGGGGAAGCTAAGCAAAATATGAATTCTTCTCTCCCTCCCCACCTCCTTTGAGACTTCTGCGCTGCCAATCTCCCAGCCAATTCTAGACTTTCTGAAACTCCATGCACGTATAACTGAAGCCAGAAATGGGTTTCCTGGCAAATATAGGTCAACATCCTTTTTATTGCCCTATTAAAATATTCAAGTCCTACCTTTAGGGCTAGGTGCGCACAGTGGCTGATGGAGTGGCCTGGTGGGGCGCGAGTGCAGGGGGAGGGTAGGGACGGCGAGAGAGGAGCTACCTCCTGGCCCCCTGCTTCTCGACCAGAGTCCTAGGCTTGCCTGGGGCCGAGAAAGGCGCGGCGCAGGCAGGGTAGCCGGCTCCAGCTGTCAGAAAGGAGAGGAATGGGAATTGGTTCTGATTTCCTTGCTCTCCCTCATCTGCTCCCGACCACCTTAAATCTGGACCGCGACTGTGGACGCGCGCGCCTTTGCCAGAGAGCAGCGCGATCCACAATTAACTCTGCACGGGCCACTGGGTGCCCGGTGCGTGTAGCTGGCTGGAGGGAGTTCTCCGACTAGCCCGGGGCGCCCATCCTCTCCTCACCCTCACTGCTCGCTGAGGAGGGGCCTTGCCCGGGTCCCCTTGGAACCCGAGAGGAGAGTGGCGCTGCAGAGAAAGCGGCGCGGGCGTGGGCACCCGAGGTCCCAGAGCCAGAGTGGGTCAGCTTCTTCCCCGGTCTGCAGGAGGCCAATGCCGCAGAGGGTGTCCTGGGCTCGCAGCCCTCCCCAGGGTTCGGGCCTTGCAGCACTGCTGCGAAACTGCAGCGCGCAGAACCGCGCAGCGAGGCAGAAGCTTGCAGCCCCACTTACTCCAGGGTTATCGATCCCCCGCGGCTAGGGTTTCAGTGGGCGCGGGGCTGAGCTGGAGCCGCCGTGCTCTGCCGCTCCACGCGCTGGAGCGCAAGCACCGCAGGAGCTAATAGCAGCGCTGGGCTCGAGGAAGTGACCACGGCGGCGCGGCAGGGGCGCGGAGATGGGGGCGCCCGTGCAGGGGCCGGGGCACAGCGCGGACTCTGTCAGCCTGCCCTGGGCCGCGCCCCCGCTTCGCAGTCCGCCGCCTGCCTGGCCTCTGAGCCTCCACGTCCCAGCCAGAGCCCCCAGCCCAGGGGTCTCCCACCACCCCCGTCCGCCCTGCCGGGGACGCGGGACCCAGCGGTCCCGCGCCCGGCCACTCTCGCCGCGGCGCGCACTGGCAGCATTTGAACTTCTGACCTTCTGTCAACTTCCCTCAGACGAAAGAAACGAAAACAAATACTTTTTTCCTTGGGCAGTGGCTATTCCCGTTCCCAACACAAAAGAAGGGGGAGGGACAGCCCAAGTGGGGGTTGGGTGCGGAGAGCCAGGCCGGGATTCTATCGCAGACCCTACAAAGGTCCCCTAAAACCGAGAGGGGCTTGGGGCTGGCAGTCTGTGAGGCACCCCCTGGTTGATCCCTCCCCTACCTTCCTTCTCCCGACTCCAGGAGTTAAGGGTCGGGGAAGAAGGGATGGGGAAGGCGGAGGCTCGCTTGCTGAGGGCAGGGGCAGGGTGAAGGAGGCGTCCAGGGAGTCCCAGGCTCGCGGGAGGTTTGGGGAGCCTGCTTGGCCGCCCTCATTTTAAATAACCGGCTAGGCTGTGCCCCAGGTGCGCGGCCCTCCCTGTCTCTGGGTCCCTAATGTGACTGCCGCCCAAGTCCCTCAAGCATGGCGAGATCGTCCCCAGTGGAACTTTCAGAGCAGTTCTGGAACGCAGGAGCTGCCGGTTAATATTAACCCGGGAGAGGGAAGCGCAGACAGACACGCTCTCCCCGCGCGGGCCTGGGGTGCCAGGCGAGGGTGCTGGGGGTCAGGGGCTCCAAGGGGGCAGTAGGCCAGAGGGCCGGATCTGAGGCCTGGAGTCGGGGGCCTGAGCCGCCACACTAAATAGATTTCCTGTGCGCTCTGGGGCCGCCGGGAAAGGTGCTCAGGTGTGGGTCTGAGGAGGGGTCTGTTCTTCCGAGGGTGGTGAGAGGACAGTGGAGAGAGGAGCGCTTAAGGCCTGGGGCGTCTTGAAGTTGGGACGCCGCCGCCCCCGCGCTAGGGAAAGCCCGCGGGCTACGGGCGGTGACAACCACCCGCGCGGTTCGCGGATCAGGGAGGTGGGCAGGAGCTCAGGCGTGGGGAACAACTTGGCCTCCGCCGACACAAAGCCCGGCCCCGGCGGCCCAGCTGGGCTTCACGGTGGCTGCACAGAGTCGGGCTTGATTTGCGGCACACGACCCAATGAATTAATAACCGGCCTGGGCTTCCCGGCTTTTCCTGCGACAATCCCGCCCAGCGCGGGAGGAGGAGCGGCCGCCAGCAGAGGCCGCGTGGAGCCGGGACGAGGAGGGCGCGCGGGGTGGGGGTGCCAAATCCCGCCATCCTTGGCCTCCACCCCTCACCCACACAGCCACCTCCCGTCGCGGCCCAGCTCGACCCGGGTCTCCCAGCCCGGGGTCCTCCATGCCCGCCCAAGTGGCGCAGCTCCGAGAGCTGGGGCCGGGTCCTCCTCACCCTGCCGCCCTCTCCCTGGCTGCCCTCCTGGGAAGCTGTTTAAAGCTTCCTCGGCGCACCCCCCAGGGGAGGGATCTGCGGTGGGGTGGGGGGCGTGCATGGGGGGTCCGTGTGCGTGCTGGTGGTGTGCGCCTGCGCGCACTGGGCCTCACATCACAGATCTAAACTGACCCTGGTTTACTGATTGATTTTCATGTAAAACGCGTTCAATCCTCAAGATGACCTCACTCAAACTCTGCCTTTCCCCGACTTTTTTTTTTAATGCTGGCAGGCCCAGAAACCTGCAGGCACTGACCTGCTCCCAGGGCGGCCCCCAGCCCTGCCCCGCCCCCCGTTGCTGTATGTTTGACTCCACCACCATATTACTGGTTTTTATTGCTGCCAGATACACAGGGCTTTTCCTGTTGCGCAATTTGTCATGTCCCCTGGAAGCGCGGCAGCAGTAGGGCCAGCGTCCTCGCCCCACCCCCTCGAAAGTGTCCCCCCACCCAGCTACGGTGAGGGCCCCAGGTAGGGACTTCCACCCTGACAACCAGACTCCAAGCAGAGCATCCTTCCAGACTGGGAGGCTAGAGGTCAGCCCCGCCCCTGCAGAAGTCACCTTGAAATTGCCCCTCGGCTTCCACTTGGTGCAGCTTCTCAGCGGACGCCACGATTGTCATCGTGCACGTTTCCCCTTTTAAAGCCCGTGTCCCACCAGCAGCAGCATAAACATCCGGGAAGCCAGTCAGTGCCCCCACAAACACACACGGAGTTGATTCAGCTGCTTTCTATCGCATCCTTATCTGAAAGTGACCCAAGAATTACGGGAGAACCCCCACAATCCGAGTCCCAGGTAACCCCGTCTGCGTCTGCCCAGTCAGAGCTTCCTGCCTCCTACCGGGCAGCTTCCGGGGAGCCTCCGCAGGCGGAGGACTAGAGGCCTCAGGCCTCCTGGCTCCCCACCCCCCTCCACCTCCTCAGTTTGCTCTTCAAACTTGCTGGACACCATTCTACGGTGGAGCCAAGAAAATAAGAGGGGAGGAAGGGAACAGGTGAAAGAAAACAAGAAACACAATCAGACCACAGAAGAGCCTGGCAGAAAAGCGTTGGACGCGCAAAAAGAATGTGGCTGTCCAAATAAAGAACGTCGGTCCTGGCCTGCGCTGCAAGCGGGCATTCACCTGGCCGCCATCCACCCGGGCTCCCGCCCACCCCGCAGCCCCGCCAGCGGCTTCTGGCCTCCCCTCTGCCTCGGATAGGGTTAGGGCCGCAGGTAAATAAATGCAAGACCTTCAGTTCTGCAAGTGCACGGTGCATTGTTCTTCATTTCTGGGAACGTGCACTCAGGTCTGCGTCGGGCCTGCTGTGGGGGATTCTTCACAGGGTGCAGGTGGAGAAAGGGCCCCAGGAGGGGGCTGGAAGTGGAGGGCAACTTGGAGGCGGGGCGGGCATCGCTCCGAAGGCGTCTGAAACATGCAGGTCACTTGTTTCCGAGAAACTTCTTGATTTGCTTCTCAGCCCCCACTAGGAGCACCAGCTGTTTCCGGATCTGGAGAAAGGCCCCCAGCTCTGCCCCGAGAGGGCTGCTCCTCCGCGCTCGTCCGCAAATGCTGCCCCTATTCCCTAGCCCAGTGCCGGCTCTTTGCGTGGCTGGGCCGTTGCAAGCCCCTTCTCCTCACCTCTCCGCATGGCCCTGGAGCCTTGAGGGCCCTGGGCAGGGCAGGCTGACGGAGGGGCCGGGAGGGGTGGCGGCCGCCTAGGCTAACGTGTCCATCGGTGGGGGCCCCCTTGTCTTCGCAGAGGTGTAAGGACAAGTTGAACGCCTTGGCCATCTCGGTGATGAACCAGTGGCCAGGAGTGAAACTGCGGGTGACCGAGGGCTGGGACGAGGATGGCCACCACTCAGAGGAGTCTCTGCACTACGAGGGCCGCGCAGTGGACATTACCACGTCCGACCGCGACCGCAGCAAGTACGGCATGCTGGCCCGCCTGGCGGTGGAGGCCGGCTTCGACTGGGTGTACTACGAGTCCAAGGCGCACATCCACTGCTCGGTGAAAGCAGGTAAGCCGGCCCCAGGCTCAGCCTTCTCCACTCCGGCCCCGCAATCCGCCCCACTGAGGGCCATTGGCGGACCCCCGGCCTGATTCCAGGGAAAAAGAAACCTGGAGGTTTCTGAGCGCCAGGAGCGGGGGCGCTGGGCGGCGACGGCGTTTTCGCGGCGGGAACCTGCCCTGTGAGGTGCCAGCCCCTCGAAATCACCCCGATCTTGGAGGCCAGAGGCCAGGGTTCTGCGTGCCCCGAGGTGGGGGCCGTGGCTTCCTGCCCACTTCTGGAGCTCCCCTGCAGGGGGTGGGAGCGTGACTGGGGGAGGGGCGCTAGGCACTTCCTGGCCCTCGCCCTGCGCAGTTAGCCAGGTCTGGGCGAGATCCTTCCCCTCCTTTAAGGCTTAAGAACCAATCGCTCCCACCTGCTATCCTAAGCGCAGGGGGGTTTGTCTTGGCCGGGAGCCCGCGTCCTGGCTGCTCCGTGCCGGGCGCCGGTGGATCCTAAGCCGCCTTCGCTCACTCGCTGAGCCTTTTGGAAGAGGTCTGGTGGGCGGCAGTAAACCCAGGGGTTACCACCTCCTGCGTCTGGAGGCCGCGCGCCTGGAGCCTGCGCTCTTCCTGGGAGCCAGGCTGGGACGCCCTGGGAGGCAGGCAGGCCCCGGAAAGCCGGGCCGAGTCGGCGCGAGGCTGCCTTCCCTGGGCCTGCAACGCCACACGCTGTTGCGGGCGAGGAACAGCCGCGGTGGAGGCGCCACTGCGCGCACGCGAACCTGCGGCCTGGGGCTGTGTGCACCGCGCGCTCCTCCGCCGGCATAAATTGGCACGTTTATCAAAGCCGTTCGCGGTGAATTTCGGGGGAACTCTACCTTCCTCACCCCCCTTTCCAGGTTTCCCTACTTGTCTCCTAATTCCATTTTAATGGCCTCTATCAGTAGGAAAACACATTTAAGGTGTCAAGGCGCACTTGCAGGTAAAGGCAAGGGTGGCTTCTTGTTCCCGCAGAAAGCAAAGGTGCGGAGTGGGGGTAGCGAGGGCCGCGGGGTCAGGTTGGGGCCCGGAGAGCTCCGGGCTGCAGGGAGGCAGGAGAAGGCGGCCCCCGGGTCCCGGGTGCGCCCTCCCGAAACCTCCTCCCGGGCTCCTGCCCGCGGGGTCCCCCTAGTGGGGGTCCCCGGAGGCCTCCTCCCAAGTGAGCAGCGCTAATCCAGCCCCCGGGCCGCGCCCGCCAGGAGCGCAGAGCGGCGCGCCGGAGCCGCTCATTGGGATTCGGCGCACACGGGCGAGGGCGCAGGGCGCGGCGTGTCAAGCCGGGCCGTGCGACTCGACGACTCGGGCTGGCCAGCGCCCGGGGTCGCATTCCGGGGGCTACTGAGGGCCTCCCACCGCCAGCCCCGCACTTCATGCCGGAGAAACCGATGAGAAGATTAAAAACCCCCTGTAATTCCAGCAGGAAGATTCTTTCTGGCAATCTCTATTTGCAAAAAGCATGATCCCGGAGATTGGAATGCAAAGAAGACGGCCCTCCCCGCCCTCCTCCCCGGCCCCCTGCGCTCCGCCCCAACTTCAATTATTGTCCTCGGGACCGTGAGCCTCTGAGAGCGACAGAGGGCTCGAGAAAGCCGGTAGTCAAGGGGCCTTGAGACCCGGCGCTTCCAGAGCTCCGAACAGGCCCGCCATTTAAAATTCAAATACACATCTTGAGTGCTTGGAAGAGAGGCCTGGCTGTGCAAATAGTGCTTGTGAATTGCACACGGGGGGGTTTGCACCTGAGCAAATAGGGAGGGGGAGGCCCGCGAGCTGGGGAGAGAGTGAGCTGAGAAAAGCAAGGGGAGAAGATGGAAGCGTCCGCTTCCAAGAGTTTCTCCTGTTTATCCCAGAAATCACAATGACAATGCTGGGCCCTTTATTGGATTTTAATTAGAAAATCCACACAAGCCTCGGATTTTCACACCTCGGCCAATCTCTGGAATGTTTGTGCAGTTGCTGCAACTGCTGCGGCTATTTTTCAGTCCCCGCCCCCGCCCCCGCCCCTCCGCAGGCTCACGCCGAGGCGCGCAGGGTGGTGCGGGCAGGCGGGCCCGGGGTTTGCTCCGCGCAGCCCCGGTGCTGAGCGCGCGAGCAGGCGCCGCGCCCCGCGCCGGGGCGGTAGGAAAGGAGGGTGAGCCCGGCGCCCGCGAGCGCTCAAGGAGGCTTCCTGAGGAATCCAAGTGCAGAGCAAACACCCTCTGGACGGATTCGCGGCGAGGCTGGGTGTGTGCGGAGCTGGGGGTGGGGTTGGAGGAAGGCGGAAGGAAGGAGTGTCACCGGCCTCTGCAGGAAACGCCAGCCCACTTCTGTCACCGCCAGCCCAGACTTGGAGAGTGGTTAAGGAATGTGCCTGCGTCGGAATCCTGTCCCAGGGGCGGTGGGGTTGGGGAGGGAGGTCTGTACGGGACCCGCCTGGAATCCTTCGCCCCGCCCAGCCCCGCGTTGTGAGCACCCCTGGCCTAGGCGCACGGGCACCCAGCGTGCGCCCTCCTCCCCGAGACGTGCCTCCCTCTCCGAACTCAATGCCCTGTTCTCTCTTCTCTCCCTTCTTGTCGCCCGCAGAGAACTCGGTGGCGGCCAAATCGGGGGGCTGCTTCCCGGGCTCGGCCACGGTGCACCTGGAGCAGGGCGGCACCAAGCTGGTGAAGGACCTCCGCCCCGGAGACCGCGTGCTGGCGGCGGACGACCAGGGCCGGCTGCTCTACAGCGACTTCCTCACTTTCCTGGACCGCGACGACGGCGCCAAGAAGGTCTTCTACGTGATCGAGACGCGGGAGCCGCGCGAGCGCCTGCTGCTCACCGCCGCGCACCTGCTCTTCGTGGCGCCGCACAATGACTCGGCCGCTGGGGAGTCCGAGTCGTCCTCAGGCATGGGGCCGCCTCCCGGGGACGCGCTGGGGCGCCGGGCGCTATTTGCCAGCCGCGTGCGCCCGGGCCAGCGCGTATACGTGGTGGCCGAGCGCGATGGGGACCGCCGGCTCCTGCCTGCCGCGGTGCACAGCGTGACCCTGCTCGAGGAGGCCACGGGCGCCTACGCGCCGCTCACGGCCCAGGGCACCATCCTCATCAACCGGGTGCTGGCCTCGTGCTACGCGGTCATCGAAGAGCACGGCTGGGCGCACCGGGCTTTCGCGCCCTTCCGCCTGGCGCACGCGCTCCTGGCTGCACTGGCGCCCGCGCGCACGGACCGCGGCGGAGACCGCGGCGGCGGGGGCGGAGGGGACGGCGGGGACGGCGGGGGCGGCGGCGGCGGCCGAGTTCCCCCGCCCGCGCCAGGTGCGGCAGACGATCCGGGCGCGGGGGCCACCGCGGGCATCCACTGGTACTCGCAGCTGCTCTACCAAATAGGCACGTGGCTCCTGGACAGCGAGGCCCTGCACCCCCTGGGCATGGCGGCCAAGTCCAGCTGAAGCCCGGGGCCTGGGGAGGGGCGCGGGAGGGGGCGGGGCGGGGCAGCAACAGCAACGCAAAAAGACGCTCGGAAAAGGCGCACGAACCAGACTGAGTTATAATAATAATAATAAAGTAGGACAGTCCAAAGTAGACGCTAAGGAAACGAGGACCCCGGGAAGTTTTGTTGTTGTGTTTAGTTTATATTTTTTAATCTTTTGGTTATTGTTTTATTTTGGTTATTTTTCCTCCTCTCCTGGCTATTTATTTGTTTGGTATGAATAGATGTTTTAAATAATATGAACCGGACCTTCAAGAGCCTTAAATAGTTTGTTTCTTGGATAATTTATTATCATGTGAACTGTACTCACAGGGGGAGAGATTATTTTGTGAGGCCAAGCAACCTGCTCAGAGTCTATTTTTCTACACGTCCCTCGCCCCGGCCGTCAGAAAGCTAACTTCCGTCCTCGCCATCCCTCCTTCCATCTCCTGCTTTCAGCAAGTGCAAACTCAAACGTGCTTCATGGGGGTCCACAAATTATATTTTTATACACAGAATTGTAAATTAGATTTTTTGAGAGATCAATACTTAACTGAATGACATTTCATTTTTGAAATAGTGTAAAATATGAAAATATATTATTTTAATTTAACTAGCTTCCGATGTCACAGCCACCTCCTCTGCTGTCTCTGTGGTTTCATATTCCCTTTGTATTCACCATTTTGCCACATTCTTGGAAGCCAAGACTGTTACACACACACACACACACACACACACACTTTTTTTTGGACAAACTGGAAGAACTCTGTTATTTTTAACTTCAAAGAATTTATTAGAAAATAATATTTTTTAAAAGCGCACACAGCGATGAGCCCATGAGGATGGAGCCTGCAGTTTGTACAGAGAAAAACAAAGGATGTTTTCGCATTAATAAATTGAGAAATAACTGCTGTAAATTTACTAAAATGTATTTTTGAATATTTTGTAATAGTTTTATAGAAATAAAATGTGCCATGCACAGACCGCTTAGTATCTAATAATTAAGAATTCCTGTTGCAGCCCTTTTTCTTTTCTTTTTTGGCTTCTTTGTTTGGGAAACCCAGCGCTGACTGGTGCTCCCAATATTCTATTTAGATGTGTTGCTTATACTGTGAATTCAGACTGACTGACTTAGGCAACCAAAGTAGGCACACAAATCAACTTGTTTCTTCTCATGGCTGGAGAAACCTCAGCTCTGCTTGTATTTACTGTGTGAAGCTCTTCCTACACTCCCAAAGGTTGGGGGTGCCATCTGTGGGGACTGCTGTCCCCCTCACCCCACCCCTTAACTAGCAAAGCCTAATGTGTAAGCCCAGAGGACCTTCTCCTAGGGCTTCTGCATGTGGTTGCTGGGCAGACCCCCTGGCCCAACCCAGTTGGTGCTGTCTCGGATCTGTAGAGAGGAGGCTCATTGTTGCTTTCTGAGGTCCTGTTGTGCCCTTTCCAGAAAGAGTCCCTAGAATTGAGGACCAGATTTGATCTCTGAAGCGCCTGTCCTCTTTTCTTGAGGGTCCCCTTAAATCAGAGTGGCAAGCCTACCGTGGCATGGGCCAGCTGCTAGAATGGCGGGCTTGCTATTGAGGCCCTTGGGCTATGCTGGTTGTCTGTCTGACGAGATCAGGCATGGGCTGTGAGCCCTGCTGAGTGGGCATGATGCTGTGGGCTCTGGGTTGGGAAAGGTCCTTCTGTGAGCCCTGTTGAGTGGGCCCGCTGCTGTGGGTGCCAGGTTGGGGAAGGCCTTCCATGGTTCCTGCCACCTCGGAGGTTTGGCTGAGAGGGTCTCTGCCCTTGGCTGTTGTCAGGGTCCTCGGTGGGGGACTCCTGCCAGTTCTTTGGCTTACGGAAGGTATCTGTCATGCTTTGTGCTTTGGGCCGAAGTATCTGAGCAGGCTGGGCTTTGGAAGAGTGAAGCTGAGTGAGTGGGGGCCTCTAACAGATGGACCTGTGAGGAAGGTGGTCCAGGTTTAGGGGGCAGGGGTGAACAGACCAGCCTGACCTGGCCTGGGCTGGCTCCCGAGTCTGGGGCCCGTCCCTGAGGAGTTGCTTTGCAGAGGGTCTCGCCTTGAGTGGCCTTCCCGAAAGGCTGCGTGCCCCGGTGGATGGCACAGGGCCTCTGCCAGCCTCCCCAGGGCCAGGCCTTCTGCGCAGGAGCAGTCCTCAGCCTTTTTCCGTAAAAGACTTTTCTTTGGTCTCCTAGGTGGTCAGCAGGTTCCAGGCTGGTGTTTACAGTCTCTCGGGGGGTGGGGGGAGTGTGTCTATTCTTTTGACAGTTCAGTCTGATTCCAAGTTAGTCCAAAGTGAGCCAGAAGCACTGGGCGAAGCTCTGGCTGTGTTGACAGACCTGCCAACTTGGCCGCGCAGCCCCAGCGGATGGAGGGAACTCGGGCATTGGCCAAGCCCCAAGGTGCTCAGGCCATGGCACAGCTCTGCTGGTGACCAGGGCACCTTGGAGCAGAGCTTCACCCAGATGGGAAATCCAGACTCCTGGGTGGCACTCCATCCTGACAGGCCCGGTGGCAGAGTCTCCAAGCGGCTGAGTGCTGTCCCCAGGCCTCCTGGTCCATCTTCCTAAGACCCATTCACTGCTTTATATTTAAAATTCTCTTTCTCGCAGGCAAGGAAAGGAAACCGCTGCTTAGAGAAACTAGGTACAGGGCCCAGTCCCGCCAGGACGCGGTGCCAACTTCTCATTCAGGATTGATGAGCCAAGAGTTTGTGCAAAATGTGCGCATGGTGGTTGCTGCCAGCCTCCCTCATGACTAAATGCATATCTATTCCTGTCAAAACGTGTATCAGAATGTACTTGAAACTGTTATCTTTGTGCTCTATTGTTTGAATAATTAAAGAAATTACAGAGGCTCTCTGCAGTGTCTGTTATGTGGTAGAACCCTGCTCCCCGGCTGTCGTCTGTGTTTCTCATCGTCTTCCACGAGGTAGTGCTGGAATCAGGAAGGAAATTCTCATTGAGTGTAGTCTCCAGTCTCTCAATGGGGGGGCTGGCCAGGCTTTGGGAATTTTTACTGGTGCAGTAAGGCAAGCTCGTGATCTGCTGTCTGAGGGATCTGGCGATCAGCCTCACATCCACATGGGAAATATGGGCAGACATGCAGAGAATGCTGGTCAGTTGCAAGATTTGTCGAGAAAGCAGCAGCTTGTCTGCCAGGGAGGCGGGCGGGCCTGGGGGAGCCCAGCTCTTCCTTGGTGGTACAGGCTCCATCCTTCTGGATGATGATCCACCCCAGAAGGCTGAGAAGCCCAAGAAGTGGCTTCCATATGACTTCTTACAAACAAGTCACAGAACCCTTCACATGCTCTGTGGATTCCTGGCACTCCCTGGGATTTATGTTCCAGGACAGGGCTGGGCAAATTTTGGCCTCTGGGACAATTCTGGCCTATTTTCACACAGACCCTGAACTGAGACTGTTTCTTACATTTTTAAAATGTTAAAAAACAAAAAATCCAAAGAAGACTGCTATTCCCTGACATGTGACAATTACATGAAACTCACATTTCAGTGTCCATTCATAAAGTTTTATTGAAACACCACTCACTCACATGTTGCCTAGAGTAGCCTCCCCGCTAGTCCAAAGGAAAGCAGCAGAAACCACCCAGCCAATACAGCCTGATATTTACTCTCTGGCTCTCTGCCAAAGCTTGCCAACCCTCTTTCTAGGATTTTGGATGGAAATCAAGCTTGGCGCTTCGGGCTGGGGGCTGAGGACAGGAGCTGGGACACGCAGGCCTGTCTCACATCACAGTGTATTTTTCAGTTACAATTGTCCACTCACTCCTGCTTCTTCCTTGAGCACCATGGTGGGCCTCAGGAGGCTGACAAGTCCGTGAAGACCCCGTAGGCAGCCACGTCTGCCCGGTAGGGCAACAGCAGTCTTCGACGCGGATCAGTGTGAGCTGAACTGCCAGGCACACCCGGTGCAGGAGAGGCAGGGCCCAGACACAGGGCCCGCCGAGTCCCCAGAACCCTCAGCAGAAGCCGCATGGTGTGTGCACATCACCCCAGAGTGAGGAAACAGGAAGTCTGGATCTGGAGATGACTTGCTTTTCTGTTTTGGCTGAGCTTGATTTTCTCGAATTAAGAAAAATTAATTAGTACTTCACATTGTACTCCATAAACAAGTGCTGGATTATTTAGCAGCGCTGGATATGAACAATAGCAGGGATGGAGGGTGCGTTTCAGCCGCTGTCTTCGGTTTTCAAGATGAGGGCAGCTGTGTTTTCAGATGGGGAAAGAGGTTTAAACAAGAGGGTTGAAATATTGAAAATCTGAAGCTATAGCAGAAGAGAGATTATGCCAGGAATCAAAGGAAAAAAACTCTCCCCGACACAGAATTGATTCCTGATGAATCCTCCATCCCACGTGAGGGCCCAAGCGTCTGCTTCCAGGCGAAGTGGACACCAAGGCCAGTCCCACTCCAGAACGTTCCTTCCTCCAGATCTGAGGTTAGCCTAACGATTCGCTTCAGAACCCTGCAGCCTAAAGACAGCAGAACGCACCCACTGCCTCTGCCACCACCCGTGTCTGTTCAGCCCACGGCTCTCCGAATCCCAGCTGAAGGCCTCTGGCCAGAAGGCCGTGGCTGTGGTGGCCTCTCCCTGCACCTCCATGCTCTCCCGGAATGGCAGGGTGCTGGGTGCAGGTGGCGCCTGCCATCGGACCTGCGCCTGGCTTCCTCTCCAGAAGTGTCCTGAGGGTGTGGGGAGCCAGGGTCCCAGGGCTGGGGGCAGCCTTGGCTGGAGGGAGCCGTGGACTTGGCGCCCAGGGCTGCGGGAAACCGGGCCGGAGGGAGCCGTCCCCGCGCCGCCTGGTGGAGTCCGGGCGCCCTCTGGTGTTCGCTCCGGGGAAAGGCAGGCGGGGCCGCGGGGCCGTGTCCAGCGGAGCGCTGCGCCCAGGTATGACCGCTCAGGTGAGCCGGAGAGATTCCCGCGCCAGAGTTCCTTCAACCCGAGGGCAGATGACCACAGGCCACCTCCACCCACGGGAGGGCGAGGAGGGACAGCGAGCTGAGAGCCGGGGAGTCAGTTCAGCCTCGGGGCACTGGGCCTGCCGGGAGAGGCCGTCCTGGGTCCGGGGACCCGCAGGTACGCTCAGCCAAAGACACGGAGGAAGGGGCGTGAGAGATGCCAGGGCATGGCGCTGGCCTCAGCGCAGGGGAGGAAAGAACTCGGGAAGTCTACCAATCAGGAAGCGCACTGGCTGAGGGCAGAGGGCAAAGACCACCTCCGACATCTGACCCTGAGAGCGAAGTCGTCCCCGGACACCTCCTCCTGTCGCCACGACCGACGCTCTCCCTGTGCAGATGGGAGAGGGGGTCTGAGAGGGGCGCGCAGGGTCCCACCCATCCACCGCAGCAGCCCCCTCGCTCCCGCGCGCCTTCTCTGCCTCCAGAAGCCGAGTCTCAGGCTAAACTCGCAGCAGTGCCCAGGCGGGGAAGGCGAGGGCTGGCACCCGGGCCGCGGAGGAGGGGACGGGACGGCCAGGCCGAGGGGCGCCGGCCCCGGACACAGGTGCGCTGAGAGAAATGGACGGGTGGTGTCCTCTGGTCGTCGAAGCCTGGGTGGAACGCGTTCTAGAAAATACGAGAACCTGGGGGAAGAGATGGAGCGTTTCTGCTGACCCTAAGGAACCCTCTTCCAGAGTCCAGGCTGAGGAAACGAAGGCCGCTCCACCCCAAGCAAGTGCTCGGGCGCAGCCCAGGCCGGTGGCCACGCAGGGCCACTCAGGAGGACCCCAGGCCCAGGCAAGGCGGGAGGCCCTCCCAGCGCCACAGACCGCCCCACTCTCAGGGCCGTGACCGGCTGCCGCCGGCATGCCCTTGAGCTTGGGTATGAAAAACCACCTCTTTCAGCTTTATCTCCTTTGTCACAAAAAAAAGTTTCAGAAATAAAAAATCGACCGGAAGAATGTTTATAGCATGTCCAGAATCCGGGTCAGGCTGCATGTGCAGTAACCCCGCGGGACGGCTGGCCACACACACCAGGCACACCTTCCACCAGTACCCGCGTGCGTGTGCACACTGAAGCCAGAGTTCGCAGAAAATGTGTCCCCCGCACCTGCAGCGCTGCCTGTTTGCCCAAGCCGGCCACTCACTGATTTCAGGACTCTCGAGTGGGTTGCAGGAGCAGTTTTAAAGTCCCAGCTCTGTGTCCAGGGCCACCTCAAGAATGAAATAAGAGAGTGGTGAGGGATCCCCTGCCCTGGACGCCTTCCTTGGGGAGCCCTGCCCTAGACACCCAGCCAGCCAGGCAGAGCCGGGCAGAGGCGCAGCCTACCCTTCCAGGGCAGGTGAGCCACAAGCATCTCTCCCAAGACCTCTCAGTGAATGTGCCAGCCCTGCCAACCTCGCCTCTGGGCATAGCTCACTCTCTCTCTTTTAGACACCGGAACCTTCCTTGCTCCACGGGGAGGGCTGTGAGCATACCCAAGGCTGGGGCTTCAGGAGGCAGGAAATGTGGCAAAAGAAGAAAGGAAGGTGAGTCCCGGGGCTGAGACCCAAAAGGGGAAAGACCTCAGGAGAAGAGGAAAGAGAAGGAAAGGGAAGTGGCTGAGATGTGCCCAGGACTCCGAGAGGAGGGTTGGAAGAATGCTGCCCAAAGGACCGACGTCACCAAAACAAGATTTCACTGCTTGAAATCATCAGGCAATTGTTACATCTGTGGGAAAAACAAATGAATGTACAAAGCTCCCAGGCAATGCCTCAAATGGTCCAAGGCAGAGACAGATGCAGCCCAGAGGGATCTCAGCTGTTGCTGAGATGAAGCATTGCCTAGAACTAGGCAGCACACCAACAGGTGGTGGGATTTCAGTAACTTTCTTTCTTTCTTTGTTTATATAGACAGAGTCTTGCTCTGTGGCCCAGGCTGGAGTGCAGTGGTGTGATCTCAGCTCACTGCAGCCTCCGCTTCCTGGGTTCAAGTGATTCTCCTGCCTCAGCTTCCCAGATAACTGAGATTACAGGTGCCCACCACTACACCCAGCTAATTTTTGTGTTTTTAGTAGAGATGGGGTTTCACCATGTTGGTCAGGCGGGTCTCAAACTCCTGACCTCAGGTGATCTGCCCACCTTGGCCTCCCAACGTGCTGGGATTACAGGTGTGAGGCGCTGCACCCAGTCGGATTTCAGTAACTTTAAAAAATACAGGTAGATTTCTTCTATTTGCTATATTTTCCTAGTTCAATATAAGAAGCACACTTCTAGAACACATGACAGTGAACTAATTTAAAAATGCACAGACCCAGGGTCCTATCCAAAGCATCCCGGGCCACTGTGGGTCTCTGGTCCTACCCATACCCCCTCCTGAGCCCTCCCTCTCTCACAGGCTGAGGCCCAGGCAGCCTCAGTGAACACCACACAGGACAAGGGCAGGGAGGCAGCCGTGAGGGGGTCTCAGCCACCTGCTGAGCATGAGCGGCAGAATGCCTACTGGCAACAGGCCCAACCCCCGCACCTCCTCCCAGTTCTGTAATTTAACCCCATGTGACCCCCCCACACACACGCTGGGGCCACAGGCAGGGCAGGGGGCAGCCCTAAGTCCCCCAGACCCCCGCAGAAGCCCAGGCTGTCCCCGAACACTGCAGCAGCCAGTGACCCTCCAGGCTGGCGAGCAAAGCTATTTATAGGCAGAGTGCTGGTGTCAGTCCTCAAAGACTAGGTGTTCAGTCAAAAAAGACCCTTTTTAGGTCAGGAAAATGAGTTTAAAAATACTGCTGTCTGCAAGTGTGCCAGACAGAGGGTGGAGGCTTTGTCTTGAGCACCGAGCAGGGGGCAGGGGTGGCTTTCTCCAGCAGAGCCTGCTGGACCAGGGCAGGCCTGCCTACCTCCCACACTTGCTCCAGCCCCTGGCTGGGCACACCCAGCGGCTCTCCCTGTCATGTC